TTACTTCTTCAACAACATTGATTCTTGAATTAATCGATCAATACTAACCCTGATTTCGGCAGCATTTCGCACGTCGATGTCGATGGACGGACAACTTTCGACACGGCATTCGGCATGTTCCAGCCCACAGGGGGAGAAAACGAGCCTACATCGCCGTAGGAACTCGGGGGCGGAGATTCCAAAACCCCAGTCTGATCCTCGCGGGGACGCGCAGAAGCTGAGATCATTAGGGCCCGCGCAGCGCGCAGGACGTGGAGCCCGCCGCGCTCGAGAACCACAATGCGCTATGGCAACTCCTTCGAGATGGAGCCGCGTCGTGAGGGTCCGCCGCAGCTGCCAGGAGGAGTTGCTATAGGGTTGCCCATGTGCTGCGGACGCGCGACGCGGAGGCAGCCCGCAGTGTGAGATCTAGTGTCCGCAGTTGGGCGGACGAAAGATCAATCGGCAGCCGTCGATAGATATGTTTTCGCGCGCTCGTTGGGGTAACTTTTTTGATAAAGTGGATGAAAAAGGCCGCGCCCGCGAGGCAACAGTGCACGGTGCACCGCTCGATGCCGAGAAACGTTGCCGTCGAACGACGAGTGTTGACTGCTTCGCGGCGCGGCGCAAAGTCGTTCTAGCTGTGGGGCAGCCCGGGCTCTGCGCTGTTGAGGCCGGCGCGGCGCCGCGGCCCGCCCCCTCGACAGGCGCGTTGTTGAGTGTCGCGGCCGTTCGTGCCCGCCGACCGGGTCCCATGCTGCCGGCGAAGGCGGGCCCGCTGGACCTCGGCGAGGAGGAGAAGCGCAGCATGGAGCGCCAGGCGAGCAGCGTGAGCTTCGTCATCAGCCCGACGCGGACGTCGGACGTCGGGCCGCCGGGCCCGAGCCCCGTCAACGCCGCCTTCCGCCAGACGGCGCGGAACGTCAAGCAGCCGCGGAAGACGCGGCCGTCGCTGAATTTGTTCGGCGGCGGCCAGAAGCAGAAGCAGCAGTCGACGTCGAGCCTCGTGTCCATCAAGAACAGCGAGGAGGAGGGTTTGTGGGAGAACGCGGCCATCGAGGACTCGAGCCAGGTCGAGTTCCCCAAGGACGGGCGCCGCTGCCCGATCTTCGACCCCTTCACGCCCTATAGAGTGGCGTGGGACCTCGCGATGATGGGCGCGATCCTCTTCGTCATGATCGTCACGCCCTTCGAGATGGCCTTCATCGCGGACCCGGGCACGTTCATTCGGCTCCCGGCGGCGCCGAGCAGCGTCTGGCTCTGGTGCATGAACCGGCTCATCGACTTTGGGTTCTTCGTGGATCTGCTGCTCGCGTTCAACACGGCCTACTTCGACGAGGCGTCGGGCCACTGGGTCACGGACCGCTACGTCATCGCCCGGTCCTACCTCCAGGCCTGGTTCTGGCTCGATCTCGTGTCGCTCGTGCCCTACTCGGTGCTGCCGGTGTCGGAGAAGGCGGGGCTGCTGCGGTTCGTGAAGCTCGCGCGGCTCATGCGCCTCCTGCGGGCCTTCAAGTCGCCGCGGATTTTAGCAAATCTCTACAAGCACATCACGCTGCACAACCGCACGCAGACGCTCGTCAAGTACATCACGTTATTGATCGTGACGATCCACTGGTCCGCGTGCTGCTTGCGTCTCGCGACGTCGATCCACCTCGACAAGTGCGGCGAGCACCACGACAAGTGCCCGGCCACGGTGCTCACGGCTTCCAAGTTCTGGGCCGACGGCGTCTGGCCCCAGTACCTCGCGGCCGTGCTCTGGGCCTTCCAGTGCCTCCAGGGCGAGTCCGCCGCGGAGACGCACGTCGAGCTGCTTTTGAACGTCGTCGTCATGCTGCTGGGGTGCCTGGAGCTGGCCTTCATGCTCGGGGAGCTGACGAACACGCTGACGAACCTCGACCCCGTCGGGAACGAGTTCAAGCTCACCTTCGACAGCCTCAACGACTACATGACGAAGAAGAATTTTCCGATAGCGCTCCGGCTCCGACTGCGCGAGTACATCATGCTCGCGGAGCCCGTCTACCGCGACAACTACTACCGCGCGCTGTTGGAGAAGCTGTCGCCGCGCTTAGAAGCCATCGTCGCGCACCAAAATTTAGGCAACGTCGTCAACCGCATCCCCTTCTTCGCCTACACGGTGCAGCGCGCCTACGGCGTCAACACGGGCTCGCTCGTGGCCCTGAAGCCGTCGCGCGACGTCACGGACGCGGACGCGGGCGCCGCGGGCGACGTGCGCCTGGCGCACGTCGTCAACGTGCCGACGTACCTGAAGTACGACGTCGAGTACGTCGACGACGCGTCCGTCGAGACGGGCGTGTCGCACGCGCGCGTCGTCGTCGACCGCAACGACGTCCTTCTGCGGACGAAGATCCAGCAGACCTTGTATCAACGGGACCACTTCGTGATAGCCGTGGCCCGTTTGTTGGAGCCGCAGCTCGTCATGCACAGCGACATCATCGTCTACCGCAACCTGTCGCTCAACGACGTCATGTACATCGTCGAGACGGGCTACATCGTCCTCTTCGGCGCGGACCCGTCGCGGAGCGAGCGCGTGCTCGTGCGCAAGTCCAACGACTCCTTCGGCGACGACATCGCCATGAACGTCGGCGGCAAGGAGCCCGTGCTCCGCCAGTTCACGGCCAAGGCGAAGCGGAAGACGCGGCTCTTCACGTTGGGCAGCGGCCGCTTCAACGCGCTGTGGAGGGGCCCACGTTTTCCATCT